AAAAGACAAGGACAAAAATTTATTCTTAATTTATTGAAATTTGGCTGACCATACAACACTGTTTCGAGTACTGATAAGCAGGGACGGAAAATAACAGTTATCTTAAAATTTTTTATGGAAAAAAACAGCAACAAAAAGCTGTCTAAACTCTTATTTAAGTAAATAGTTATCATTCTAACAACTTTTATCCTTAATATTATGAATGCTTTTTATATATAAGCGTTTTAAAATAAAAATCAAAAAATAATAATTAAATTTGATTTTTATTATATTCATCAAAAATAATTATTATTATATCCCTTTTATTTTTTCGCGCAGAAATAACTCTTAAAATTTGCTTCTTATTTTAAAACTGACAAATAACTGGTATACTTGCGTTATATAATATAAAAATCAAGAGTATCTGCACGATATTTTTAAAATGAAAATATAAAATGCAATTTTCATACAAGGTAGTTGTTTTTGTAATGCCATAGAAAATGTTTTAAAAGGTTGGTGCAGGTAAAGATTTAGTTCAGTTTTTTGTTTTTTGCTTACTGCATCCTGCTAAAAAATTGAATGCAAGTGATGGATGGCTGGCAAATTTTAAAACACGACACAGTATTCGCCTTCTTAAAATTTGTGGGGAAATTCTTTGAAGCGATACATCAAAAATAACACCATTCATTCATAATTTACCAGCAAAAATTGATAAAATGGACATCTCCATTTCAAAAGAATTTTGACTATTTTATCGTTTTTTAACGGATAAAACATTTGTTACAGTAAACGAAAAGACTGTACTGGGCCGAAAAACAACAAAGGAAGGAATCACATTTTTGTTGTGTACAAATGCAAATGGTTCGCACAAGTTGAATCCGTTGGTAATTGTTAAATCTACAAATCCACGTTCCTTTAAGGGATTTGAAAACTGTTGTAATTGTCACTATTCGTATAAACAAGTTTAAGTAAATCGATATTTTTTAGGATAATAGTAAGTTTTTTGTTTATTCTGTAATTTCGCAATTCATGCAGTTTTTTTATACACAAATCATGTATACATATCACAACATACGAAATCCAAACGTCAAAAATATGATGTCAGTGTTGCCATTTTCATATATTTTTTTATAATTTGATAAAATAACCTATTGGAATACTCCTATTCAAACAAGTCGCAAATTTTAATTTGCAACCAAAGGCATTGTTGTTGATTGACAACTGCACTGCACATAAACCAATTGACATGCAAAAGTCTGATGATGGAATCATTGTAGCAATGCTTCTACCACCTAACGTAACAGCGGTTTTGCAGCCGATGGAGTAAAATCCAATAGGATTGGTCAAGTTAGAATATCGAACTAAATTGTTATGCAACATTGTCGCACAAAAAAACGTTCTGATTGAAATATGATAAAAAAGAAGGATGATGATCAATACGATAATGAAGACGACAGTCCATTGTCTAAATTAATTAAATCAAATAATTGTTAATGTCGAAAGTGAGTGATAATATTGACATCAGTATTGACGATATTTGAAATTGAAACAGGAATCAAATTACGAAGATAACGAACATTTCGAGGTGTCTGATAACGATGGATCAATGACCAAGCAAGATATTCAAAAACAGAAAGTGAGTTTCTCGGAAGCAGTTGAAAGCATCAATACCTTGATAAAATGGTACGGAAACAAAAACGATGCAAATCAGGTGGTAGACCTTGTCAGTATGCGCACGAAACGGGTCGAGCTATTACATAAAAGAAAAAAAACAAACAACTCTCAACTGCTCTTTTAATCCAACCAGTACAAATTAAATTTAAGTTTTCCTTTCGTAACAATGAAATCAAAGTCATTGAATTAAGTTTAGCGAGTAATATCAAAAAAAATTTGTGCTTACTTTTGTATCTTTTTTTTTTTTGATTCTGAATTTTAAAAATCGCTTGGTAAAATTATTAATTCGAAAAAGTTGATTACGCTTGAAACATTTCAGTTAACTTTTTCGAGATTCTACTGTACCACAATAATATACAATTCTAACAAAATCTTATAAATATTTTGTGACATACATTTTGTTAGAATAAGGGTACCCATTTAAACTGATGAATGCCTTATAATCGTTATAATCCTTATAAACGTATAGATTTATCTACTTTGTAAGTTGTCAAACCTTGTATGAAAAATAGTTTACACAATCTTATAAATTTACACGAAAATTTTACCGAATAAATTTATCGCATAAATTTACAAAAACATCTTTGTAAATACTTTTTAGTTTGGACATTTTGCTCAATTTCGGCATATTATTTTATAAGTTATTGATAGCAATTCAGCAAATTGACAAAGTCTACAAAATATTTAGCATTGCAATGATATTGGCTAAACATTTGGTTGAAGAATTGTGTTGTTGAGTATTGCATTTTGTGCTGTCATAAATATTGACAGCTGATTGATAAATTTACAAAAATAATTCACTAATTGCGTTCATATAACTGTGTATTTAAACGTATAAATTTAAATATTTGATAAATTTATGTGCTTAGATTAATACCCTTAATATAATATAGTATATCGATATAGTAATTATACTACAAAAATGTTAAATGCAACAGATTAGCGGCGGAGTTTTGGTCAGAATCACCCAATTGAAATCAAATATATTGGGCAATAATATATTACGTCATCGAAGAAGTAGGCACAATTGGATAAAGTTATCCAAGTTCGTGTTATTATGTTTGAACTTATTTCATTAAAAAATGAAATGAAAATACCAGTCATACAAGCCAAATTTAAAAACTTTTTGTTAAAAAATCCGAATCACTTATTCGGTTAATGCATTTATTATAAAAAATAAAAGTCAGGCGAAGAAGTGTTAAATGTATAAAAAACAATTACATAAGTGAAAACTTTCTGCGGAAAGGAAAAATTAATCTAGAAAAACCTATACTAAATTACAAATTGTAACAACTAACAAGATTCAGTAACTCATATTAAATCATGTGAGTCCGATAGCGAAAGGATACGCGTTAGACATCGAATTAGAATCAAATAAAAACGCGGTGATAACTTTATGGATATCACATTGAGTATGTTAAATAAAAAACTATAAACTATAGAGAGTATATTTCATGATCAAGATTTGACAGCACATATATGTTTTCAACATGAATATGTCTAAGCCACAGAACACATCATGCTTTAGCTTTGTATTGAGAGAAGTTTCCGGAGATTGCATTATCATCTTTTGGTGATGTAAATTGGGTACCAATGTCAGGGGATTTTCAGCCGTTAGACATTTGCTGTGGAGTTACGCAAAGATTCGTGTTGATAGTTTTATGCCGACAATTCTTGAAAATGTATCACAAAAATATTTATTACTAACTGATATCCAATGAAGGACTTTACAACGATGTTGCATTTCCACCTAACGACAAGTCCGTTTAATCGTTTAATCTAATTAATGTTTAATGTAATTATGGTAACTCTGTTATAGCATCTGTTACGAAAGACTTTAATAATATCCAATACTACAGAACAGTTATTATCCAACTGCTACGGGATAATTTGGATTAACATAACCACAATACCTGTGCCATAGTCTAGTTCAAGTTAGTAGAAAATTATGAGGGCAGAGAAGTATCAATAAATGATTATTTACTTTTATTTATGTAACTAATAATAACAATTTTTTTAGTGATATACACTTTTTTTGCAAAGCAGTTTTTTACGAATTACAAGTAAAATCAAATTTACTTTTCTGACTTTTGTAAATAGTTCCTCATTTTTCCTAAACCTTGTCTGAATATACGTGTATATATTGACGCAAAAAGATTTGTTTTGCACAATCAACCGAGGTGACAGCACGTAAAATAGTACTAAATAATACTAAGTCAATTATTTAAGTGCACACATACCTCGATATGAATCAGCCTTTTACACGGCATTTCCCTGTAAAAGCCGATGGAAACCGATGGTAAGTCTGCGAGAAAATAATTTTTGGAAATCTTCAACATTAGAGATGCCATACTCGTACACAACATTATTAAATAATGAAATAAATAAAAATCAACCAAAATTCCAATCAACCTGTTTGGAAACAAATATATAGAGAATACATAAAAATTATGAGTCTGAAGCTAATTCTATTCCTAAACTCCGACAAAAGATATTAAGCTTAACTTTGATAAAAAATTTGGAATAAGGTTATTTGATTAAATTGCTCTATGCGGACACTTGATGAGGGGCTAGAGTCTGCTATATTCAGGCAGCTATCATTAAGAACGTTAATGACTGCACTTCTTATTTGGAGAACAAAGTGAACATTTTTTTCAAAATTATCCAGGCGAAGAACGTAAGAGTAAAGTATCTCAAGAAGTAAACTCAGCTATTAGTTGCTAAAAATATTCCTAAAGCTTTATTTTTAAGATAGCATTTTTTATCAAATTAAAGGAATAAAATTTCTAATGTATAAATGAACCCTTCATATAATATATCACTTTTTAAAAATATGGAATTGAATGGCTTTTCGAATTACATAACTGTTTTAAAAAAAAGTAGCGGGAAATATCACTTTCAAAAAAAGGGATTGTAGTAAACGGACGTAGTACAACACTGGTAGTAAACGTACGTTGTACAACACGGAAGAAGAGCAGCTGTCAGAGAGAAAAGGGCGGCAAGATAGCGTTGGGTGGAAGATTAACAATTAGTGTGTGTTGTATTGTAATGAAATAATAAAGTGATACGAAATAATATAGAACTGTATTTATGTGTAACTAGCGAAGTTACTACATTGGCGACGAGGATAAAGCTAACATGAATGCGGAACAGTTTAATTTGTTGTTGCAAGCTGTGCAAAAATCAAATGACGCTTTGCTTGAGGAGCTTCGGTTGTCGCGGACACAACAACAAATTGATGCGCCTTCTTCAACTACAGAAGCAGTTTCGTCAACATTCAGGAATCTATCTGACTCAATGCTGGAGTTTTGCTATGATCCTGAAAATAATGTTACATTTGAATCATGGTACAAGCGTTATAAATCAGTTTTCGCTATAGAAGCAGCACATCTCACTGAGCTGCTTCTATGGTTCGATTGCTCACTAGTAAATTAAAAAATTTGGATTTCGAGCAATATGCAAACTCAATCTTACCAAAGGAACCCCATGAGCTTACACTCATGCAAACGGTTGCCAAACTCTCGTCTATTTTCGGATATCGCCAATCAAAATTTTCTCAGCGCCAAAAATGTCTTACAATTTCAAAACAGGATTACGAAGACTTTGCTCTGTACGCAGCTCGCGTCAACAAACATTGTGAAAAATTTGACATCGTTAATTGCACTCCCGATGAGTTTAAAGCACAAATCTTTGTTAATGGCTTGAAGAGTTCACACGATTCGTTAATACTTGAGAAACTCCTTGCAAGACTCGACAATGAATCAACACAGTTTGGTGCACTTCAGACACAGGCGCAAAAGGATGCCTTCATGCACTTAACACTTCAAGACCTCACTAATGAAGCTGAACGTATAATCTGTCTGAAGCAAGACAAATACACTGTTGTCCAGCCATCTTCAAGTTCAGAAGTTTTTACAATTCACCATCGATATCAACGCAAAAATGAATCATTACTATCAAATTCTTCAACTAAAGACGAATCTTCGAAACCACCAACGCCATGTTGGTGTTGTGTTCAGCATGTAAAACTATTGGCCACAAAAATGGTTACTGCAATATGAAGCCAATCAAGTTGCGGAAAAAAAATCTCAGCCTGACACATCATGTGTAAAGAAAATTGACGAAACTAACAGAACGCAGCAGCATCGTAGGTATGTCAGACCAAATCTCAATGGATCTACAATTAAACTCCAACTTGATACCGGGTCGGACATAACAATTATTTCCAAATCGAACTGGACCAAACTTGGCCAGCCAATCCTACAAACTACTAATAAAAAAGCTGGCGATGTTTCTGGAAATGTAATTCCTCTTCTTGGCAGCTTTGCTTGTGTTGTGAACCTAAATGGAAGAGAGGAATATGATGTGTGTTATGTCACACCACTTAAGTTGAACGTGTTTGGAATTGATTGGATAACGACATTTGACTTATGGTCAGTGCCTATCAGTTCCTTTTGCAAAGCAATCCAACTAACTAGTTGCGATAAGTTAAACGATGAAATAAAGGCTAGATTTCCGTCTCTCTTTTCTAATGACCTTGGCTGCTGTACGAAGACCCAAGCGACTCTGAGGCTAAAAGAAGGAGCGCGACCCGTTTATCGTAACGCTCGACCAGTTCCATATGCAGCAGCTCCCATAGTTTCGGCAGAACTTGAACGTCTTCAACATCTTGGAGTAATTTCACCAATTGAATACTCACAGTCAGCGGCGCCAATCGTAGTTGTAAGAAAGAAGAATGGAAAAATTCGTATATGTGCCGATTATTCTACAGGTCTAAATGACGGTCTAGAGCCAAATAAATATCCTCTTCCAACGCTTGACCAAATATTCTCCAAACTCGCTAATAAGAAAGTCTTTAGCACAATTGACCTATCAGATGCATTTTTCCAGATTCCAGTGGACCAAGAATCTCAAAAACTGATGGCTATCAATACTCACCTCGGCTTATTTAAAGTACTTAGACTGCAGCAAGGTGTTAAAACAGCCCCTGGCATTTTTCAACAGATTGTTGACACAATGCTTAGCGGAACCAATACCATTGGGTTTATTGATGATATGATCTGTTCGGGAATTAATGAAGAAGACCACAAAATTCAACTGTTTAAAACCTTAGAGCGTATTCAGGATTATGGATTCAAACTTCGCTTCGAGAAATGTAAGTTTGGAGAAACATCTGTCGAGTTCTGCGGACACACGGTAGATCAATATGGTATCAGACCACATCCAGGGAAACTTCGATCAATCCAAGATCTCCCACCACCAACGAATTTGCAACAAACACGAGCATTTTTAGGAGCTGTAAATTATTATGGGAAATTCATTAAAAGTATGAAAAGCCTTCGCGGTGCTTTAGATGAACTTTTAAAAAAAGATAAGAAGTTTGAGTGGAAACAACATCATAATGAAGCATTCAACAATATTAAAAATGTTTTAGCTTCTGATCTATGTCTCACGCACTTCGATTCAGCAAAGAAAATAATTTTAGCTACTGATGCTTCAGAATACGGTATGGGTGCAGTTCTCATACATCAATTTAATGACGGAACGCTTCACCCAATTATGCACTACTCAGCTACATTCAATGCAGCAGAGCGGAAGTATCCTCAAATACACAAGGAAGATCGATCTCTCGTGTTTGGATTAAAAAAATGTCACTATTACATTTCTGGTCGTCACTTTACCATTCATATCGACCACAAGCCACTTCTTGCTATATTCAACCCGAAAAATGGCATCCCGTTGTTTACAGCGGCTCGCCTATGCAACCACTATTCTGTCATACGACTTCTCTATTGAATACATAAATACTGACAGCTTTGGATATGCCGATATTATTTCTCGACTAATCGCAAACCATGTAAAACCTGATGAAGATACCGTCATAGCATCTATTCAATTAGAAGAAGACGAGGACCTCAAAATCAATTGTTTTACGGTAGAAACAGCCACCAAACTTCCAATCACTTTCACTACAATTCAAACAGCAACCAAAGCCTACCATACTCTCAATAAGGTCACGTTCTACAGCCAAAATGACTGCTGGCCTCAAAAGAAAAAACAAATCACAGATAATGAAGTAGCGGCCTTTTTCCAGCATCGACATCATCTTACGATCCAACAACAGAGTATTTTCTTTGGTGAGAGAATTGTTATTCCCAAAATTTACCACCAGCAAGTCCTTGAAGATCTCCATAATGGACATCCAGGTGAATGTCGTATGAAATTTCTTGCTGCTACCAAAGTTTTTTGGCCAAACATTAATCTTGATATCAAACATGTGGTCAAAACTTGTGACACATGCGCTATAGCCTCAAAAAGTCCAATGAAATGTACTCCTCAACAGTGGAAAATTCCTTCTGCACCATGGAAACGAATTCATATTGACTATGCTGGTCCAATCGATAGCAATTACTTCCTTGTTATCATAGACGCTTTTAGCAAATGACCAGAAATATTCAAAACTTCAACTACTACTGCAGCTAAAACTATTGAGTTCATTCAGAAAGCTTTTGCGCAACACGGCCTTTGTGACACGATTGTTAGTGATAATGCTCCGCAATTCATCTCGCAAAAATTCAAAAATTTTTGCGACTTCCAAGCAATTAATCACATATCTACAGCTCTATACAGTCCACAATCAAATGGCCAAGCAGAACGGTTCGTTGACCTACTCAAATCAGGACTTAAAAAGGCTAAGGGAAGTATCACTTGCTATCGATACACACCACCCTGTAATCTCGGTATGAAATCACCATCTGAGCTCCTAAATGGCAGAAAAATTAAAATTCGTCTTGACTGCATTCAACAGCAAAAACAGGAAGGCGAATTAGAAAAACAAAGTAATCAGCAAGAGACAAAATTAAAGCAGTTCAGCATTGGAGATAACGTTTACTATAAACTTCATTCCAATAATAATAAATGGACTTGGATGCCATCTGTAATCATAAAGAAACTTGGAGTAGTCAATTATGAAGTCAAAATTGACCAGGAAAGTAATGATGATCTCCACTCTCACCCAGAACTTAACTCAGTTTATGTCAATCATGTATCTAGAAAGTTATGTTTTAGACGCCTTCGTATCGAAATACCTGTCCACCATGTGCTTTGCCATCTGGGTGATTGGTTTTATAAAATAAATAACTAGGAATAAAAAAGAAATTTTTGTTTGTTAGATATGTTTCTGAGCATGAAATTTGTGAGTTCAAGTTTATGTTGGCTTAAGCCGTTTGCATTCCATGTACAAATTTTTTAAAGTACTCATTATTTAGACAAGAACATTTGCATTAATTGGCTTTGCATTTTAACTATCTCGTTAAGAGTAGTTTGCATGATTGACATAAACTGAGTTAAGTTCTGGGTGAGAGTGGAGATCATCATTACTTTCCTGGTCAATTTTGACTTCATAATTGACTACTCCAAGTTTCTTTATGATTACAGATGGTATCCAAGTCCATTTATTATTATTGGAATGAAGTTTATAGTAAACGTTATCTCCAATGCTGAACTGCTTTAATTTTGTCTCTTGCTGATTACTTTGTTTTTCTAATTCGCCTTCCTGTTTTTGCTGTTGAATGCAGTCAAGACGAATTTTAATTTTTCTGCCATTTAGGAGCTCAGATGGTGATTTCATACCGAGATTACAGGGTGGTGTGTATCGATAGCAAGTGATACTTCCCTTAGCCTTTTTAAGTCCTGATTTGAGTAGGTCAACGAACCGTTCTGCTTGGCCATTTGATTGTGGACTGTATAGAGCTGTAGATATGTGATTAATTGCTTGGAAGTCGCAAAAATTTTTGAATTTTTGCGAGATGAATTGCGGAGCATTATCACTAACAATCGTGTCACAAAGGCCGTGTTGCGCAAAAGCTTTCTGAATGAACTCAATAGTTTTAGCTGCAGTAGTAGTTGAAGTTTTGAATATTTCTGGTCATTTGCTAAAGGCGTCTATGATAACAAGGAAGTAATTGCTATCGATTGGACCAGCATAGTCAATATGAATTCGTTTCCATGGTGCAGAAGGAATTTTCCACTGTTGAGGAGTACATTTCATTGGACTTTTTGAGGCTATAGCGCATGTGTCACAAGTTTTGACCACATGTTCGATATCAAGATTAATGTTTGGCCAAAAAACTTTGGTAGCAGCAAGAAGTTTCATACGACATTCACCTGGATGTCCATTATGGAGATCTTCAAGGACTTGCTGGTGGTAAATTTTGGGAATAACAATTCTCTCACCAAAGAAAATACTCTGTTGTTGGATCGTAAGATGATGTCGATGCTGAAAAAAGGCCGCTACTTCATTATCTGTGATTTGTTTTTTCTTTTGAGGCCAGCAGTCATTTTGGCTGTAGAACGTGACCTTATTGAGAGTATGGTAGGCTTTGGTTGCTGTTTGAATTGTAGTGAAAGTGATTGGAAGTTTGGTGGCTGTTTCTACCGTAAAACAATTGATTTTGAGGTCCTCGTCTTCTTCTAATTGAATAGATGCTATGACGGTATCTTCATCAGGTTTTACATGGTTTGCGATTAGTCGAGAAAGAATATCGGCATATCCAAAGCTGTCAGTATTTATGTATTCAATAGAGAAGTCGTATGACAGAATAGTGATTGCGTAACGTTGCAGGCGAGCCGCTGTAAACAACGGGATGCCATTTTTCGGGTTGAATATAGCAAGAAGTGGCTTGTGGTCGATATGAATGGTAAAGTGACGACCAGAAATGTAATAGTGACATTTTTTTAATCCAAACACGAGAGATCGATCTTCCTTGTGTATTTGAGGATACTTCCGCTCTGCTGCATTGAATGTAGCTGAGTAGTGCATAATTGGGTGAAGCGTTCCGTCATTAAATTGATGTATGAGAACTGCACCCATATCGTATTCTGAAGCATCAGTAGCTAAAATTATTTTCTTTGCTGAATCGAAGTGCGTGAGACATAGATCAGAAGCTAATACATTTTTAATATTGTTGAATGCTTCATTATGATGTTGTTTCTATTCAAACTTCTTATCTTTTTTTAAAAGTTTATCTAAAGGACCGCGAAGGCTTTTCATACTTTTAATGAATTTCCCATAATAATTTACAGCTCCTAAAAATGCTCATGTTTGTTGCAAATTTGTAGGTGGTGGGAGATCTTGGATTGATCGAAGTTTCTCTGGATGTGGTCTGATACCATATTGATCTACCGTGTGTCCGCAGAACTCGACAGATGTTTCTCCAAACTTACACTTCTCGAAGGTTGAAACCATAATCCTGAATACGTTTTAAGGTTTTAAACTATTGAATTTTGTGGTTTTCTTCATTAATTCCCGAACAGATCATATCATCAATAAACCCAATGGTATTGGTTCCGCTAAGCATTGTATCAACAATCTGTTGAAAAATGCCAGGGGCTGTTTTAACACCTTGCTGCAGTCTAAGTAATGTAACGACACAAAATTTTATTAATTAAAATTTGATCGTTACAACATCGTGGGTATAACTGCCTACACAATAAAAGAAACACTCACTTGAATACATATAATCGACGGTTCCTACAATAAAAAAATTGTTAAGTACGGATAAGCACATTAACTTAACCAACTCACCGCAGCCTCCCGCAATACATGCCACACCAAAAACGCAACAGGTCACCCCACAACAACAGACATCCAGCAATGGAATTAATATGCATTATGATTCACAGATTTTTCTTCTAACATTGATTGTTTTATCAATTATAATCATAATTATTTGTTTATAATTTATTTTTTAAAAGGAAAAAAAAAACCACGCTTTAAAAACATTTCGACTGGCACAACACATTGTTAAAAAAAAGAATAAACAACAAACGAGATCAAAACAGAACTGTCAAACTAAGAAAGCTTTGGTGCAAAGTTGTGGAACTAGGTCAAATCGTGAAGAAAAAAACAAGTTCCAGCTTCCACAAGAGTAAAATATGGAATTCGCCCTAAAGCTGAACTGTCACTGGTGCATTGCAGGGAGATCAGTTAACGAGCTTCGATTAACGGTCGTTGAACTTTAACGTACCTACAGCTGGCACCGTTGATCGTTGACGGTATAAAAGTGCGTGCACCAGGAAGAAGTGGTCTCTTTTTGTTTTGTTCGGCGACTAAAGGTACGAGAAAAATTGTGGTGTTGGATTCATCAGCTGAGATTACCATGTGAACATATAATTTATAGCAAATTGCTACTAACCTGTGAAAATTTAAATTTTATTTTAAAACTAAGAAATATATACAAAGAACTAATGTTGTTGATTTATTAAAGAATTAAATTAAAGAATTGTTAATATATAATTTATAGTAAATTGCTACTAATCTGGGAGAATTTAAATTTTATTTTAAAACTAAGAAATATACGCAAAGAACTAATGTTGTTGATTTATTAAAGAATTAAATTAAAGAATTGTTAATATATAACTTATAGCTAATTGCTACTAATCTCTGAAAATTTAAATCTTATTTTAAAACTAAGAAATATACACAAAGAACTGAGGTTGTTGATTTATTAAAGAATTAAATTAAAGAATTGTTAATATATAATTTATAGTAAATTGCTACTAATCTGTGAGAATTTAAATTTTATTTTAAAACTAAGAAATATACGCGAAGAACTAATGTTGTTGATTTACTAAAGAATTAAATTAAAGAATTGTTAATATATAACTTATAGCAAATTGCTACTAACCTGTGAAAATTTAAATGTTATTTTAAAAAAACTAAGAAATATATACAAAGAACTACATAATGTTGTTGATTTACTAAAGAATTAAACTAAAGAATTGTTAATAAATAACTTATAGCAAAATACTACTAATCTGTGAAAATTTAAATTTTATTTTAAAACCAAGAAATATACACAAAGAACTGAGGTTGTTGTTTTATTAAAGAAGTAAATTAAAGAATTGTTAATATATTCAGCGGCACGACTGGTAGACATAGGTAAGCAGGATTCAGGGCTTCAATAGTATCTGTGTCTCGGTTGTACGGGGTATAACTCACGTAGCTTTAACAGTCACGTGAGTCTATACCATAGTGTCGGAAGCGATAGGTAGCTTTAATAGTAACCTAACGTCTCCGGCCCCTGGGCGCTTTAACAGTGAACAGGGAAGGGCGTGTGATCGGCGACTTGTAATACCACTCACGTAGCTTTAATAGTCACGTGTGCTGGTATTATATCGTGTCTATTTCTGTCAGTGATTCCATTGCGTCTGTGATATTCGATCCAAGCTATCTGCAGCTAAGAAGTTAGGAGCAATCAGAAGTGACAGGGTCTCATTAAATAAATTTCTTGTGTGGACCTTGGGGACGGCTGAGTTCAACCCCAGTTTTACCACAGGAAAAGTTCATTACAAGTGGCGCCCGAGCAGGGACCCTGAGACAAGCACTTCACGATTTGGATAACAACTTTTCCACCGTCATTAACGAGGTAAAATACACAGTTAACATGGGAAGGTCGTAGATATTTTTTTTTATTTTACGGAAACATGACTTAAGTATCTCGGAGAATTAGGGCTGGATACTACTGAACAATATAAGATTTGCGGCGGTGATCAACAAACTGAAATTTACGGATTACTTCTTAACTGTAAGTGAAAGATTTCTTACGGCGGGAGACTACAATGTCAAGCACACGTATTGGGGTTCACGATTCTGTAATCCAAAAAGAAAACAGCTCCACAATTCCATTCTAAATAGAAAAAATGCACTAGACGTAATCTCTTCTGGGCAGCCAACATATTGGCCTGCTCATAACAATAAAATACCAGACCGAATAGACTTCGCCGTGACCAAAGGCATAAACAGAAATTCAACATACTCAAGCTGCGATTTGTCTTCAGACCATTCTCCAGTTACATTTTGCCTACTTTGAAAGGATGGAAATTTACACTAAATTTCCACCTACATTAACGTGCACTAAAAACAATAACAACACGAACTAAAACACATCAATACAACACAGTTTTTTTATAAAACGACACACTTTTTATATGTTTATGTTTAAACTTGGAAAAAGTAGACTCACTGGTAATAAATTTTGCAAATATCTGGAATTAAATAGATTAATTAATATTTAAAATATTTAGTCAAAACAATTTACCAAAACCCAAACCGCTTACAAGCTTTAATAACACCTCAAACTAAGCTGAAATGATATTAAAATGAAATATAAAAATATAATTAAATAAATTAATAATAAACTCGCCTTATTTATTTGTTAATTATATTTCTTATTTTTATGTTGTAAATATTCATCAAATATTTGCACTTTTAATATTTTATTTATCGTAACAAACAAAGTAAATAAAAACCACCACCGACCGAATGTAGTTTGAAAACACATTTTGTAAGAATCAAAACAAAGCAGCGCTAACATAAGAAAACAAGAACTGCCAAAAATATTCGCCGTAAGAGAAGCTTAAAGAGAAGTTAAATGCACAAGCTGAGTACCGCACAAAACATGAAATAGAAAATCAGAACGGCAAAATTAAACAAGAATTACGTAAGATCAGCTGTAAATAAAAATGATACGCTACACAAAAGCTCGGTCGAGTGTGTATATAAGACGCGCATTTTACTTATACGAACACTTTGGTTTATAATTTCAAAGCCACATACACCTTGGAAGAGCAAGTCAAATAAGCTCTAGAGGCACAAAGGCATAATAACTATTAAGACACGACAGGTGGTTTAAATAGTTACTAAAATTAAAATACATAGCGATATTTTATATGAGAGAAATATCGAAATTAAGGCATAATAACTATTAAGACACGACAGGTGGTTTCACGTCGACTGTGTCCAAAATAGTTACTAAAATTAAAATACATAGCGATATTTTATATGAAAGAAATATCGAAATCAAGGCATAATAACTATTAAGACACGACAGGTGGTTTCACGTCGATTGTGTCCAAAATAGTTACTAAAATTAAAATTCATAAGGATATTTTATTTGAAAGAAATATCGAAATCAATGTATAATAACTATTAAGGGACGACAGGTGGTTTCACGTCGACTGTGTCAAAAATAGTTGCTAAAATTAAAATTCATAAGGATATTTTATATGAAAGAAATATCTAAATCAAGGTATAATAATTATTAAGACACGACAGGTGGTTTCACGTCGACTGTGTCCAAAATAATTTCCAAGATTAATATATTTATAAGGATATTTTATATAAAAATATCCCAAGGAAGGAATAGTTACTAGGAAATACTGAGACACGACAGGTGGTATCACGTCGACTGTGTCGAAAGTAATTTTCTGTAATACGCAAAGGAGACCGACTATAACGAAAATCTCCAAACGAAGGCATAGTTGTGGAAAAATACTTGAATACGACAGTTGGTTTCACGCCTACAGTATATAAAGCAATTCTACAAGATCCAGAATAATCCCACCCATAAATCCCGCACTTTTTAAGGTCAGAAGAATACAAAACTAGGGGCTTGAAGGAGGAAGATCTATCAAGGACATTCAAGCACTGGAACGTCTCAAAAGACATCTTTATTTAATTATTAAATTTTTACCCTTTCGAAACAAAAAACTACATATTCAAATTTTGTTTATATATACTTATATATTTATTTTATTTTTTTGAAACATAAAGTTAATTTGTTTTACTATATTAAATATAAATTTAAAATTTATAAATTCTGAAATAAAGAAATTAAAATATAATCACAACACTTTGAATATTTTGGTCACAATCTATAAATTTATTGTGACGACGCTGGTGAGACTGAGCATACCTCAGCAAATAAGCAACGACTGCAAGAAAGGGTCGTTACAACTTGATGATCCTCAGTTATATGACTGTTCCTATAGCCTTACAAATCCTAGAACAAACTGGCTAAAATATAAAAA